CTTTCTTTTCCTATGCCAATGTCCCCACTTCCCATTGGTAATCCACCAGGTTCCCAGTGAGGTGAATTCTTTGGTGGCTCTAAGCATGAATTATGTGATCCAGACCAAGCCTATTAGTGCGCTCGTATCTCCTAGCCATCATAATGTAATCAGGAAGGTAAATCTCAGGAATTCTCCAGGAATGTTGGGACAAAGGTGCTCTCTAGTCAATACCAGTTTTGCCAAACAATCTGAATAATGAATAAACTATAGCCTTCAGCAAAGTACTATGTGATGATTCTAGAGTTAATTTGGCTTGTGTTTAAATCAGACATATTTTCAAAAAGAGTCTGAAATATAATTCACATGGAATATATAAGAATGCCTTTGGATTAAAATAGCAGACAAACACAGTCCTAATTTATTTAAGCAACAAAGGGAATTTATTGGCTCATAAATCAAAAACCCTAGAAATACTGTGAGCTTCTGACAAAGGTTTATGTCTACCAAGGACCTAATTTCTTTTTATCTTTTTGAATTGATCTGAAAATCTGTACTTGAACTTGTTTTCTGCTTCATGTTCAAACTCTTTAGTTAAATGTTTACAGTCTTCAGCAAATTTAAGTCAGAACCAAAGTAAAAGCAGAAGAAACACTGATCAAAATTATAGTAAATCTTTGAAAATTTACTTTCCCTGTCCACATTGTCTATTACTATTTTTGTCCTAGCCTGTATCTAAGTAGAAGCCAGAGAAATGATTCACTTGAAAATGGACTCATCAGATGAAAAGTAAAGTCGAGAAAGCAGTGTGATTTTTTAATTACAGTAACTGTAGGAGAAATGCTGTACTAGTAGGCACAATAACAAGAAGAGAAAAATATTAAACAATGTGGAATATGATTTTGAAGTAAAATAAATTCATCTGCTTATAGCTAATAAATAATCTGTCTTATAATCATTACATAAAAAATTTAAAATGATATAGTTGTAAAATAGGCCAAATAGATTATAAAAAAAATTCAACCATATAAATGGTTGTATCTTCTAATGGTAATAGCAACTGATGAAAGTGATTAGTCATGACAATAATTCAGATGTTTACATTGATCTATCACAATTATGGTTTTACATTAGGAGGTGAAAACTGTTTTTACAAAAGGCCATACAGTAAATATTTTAGGCTTTATGAATTATAAGGTCTTTGTTGCAACTACTCAACTCTGCCATTATAGTGTGAAAGCAGTCATAGATAGTATGTTAAGAATGGGCATGGCTGTATTCCAACAAAACTTTGTCATTTTTGTCTGTTGAACTTTTTTTCAACAGAACTTTATTTACAAAACAAGTGGTGGGCTAGATTTGGCCATAATTTGCTGGCCCTTGTTCTATATCATTCATGTCTTTCAGTTTCTTTTGTCTCTCTTTGTATGAGTGTTCAATCATCAGAACTTGTGCATTAAATTTTATATTAAATTATTTTAAATTACTTAACTTGACTCAATTTTTAAGATAGATTATACAAATTGGAAGGGAACTGTCACTAGAAAAAGGGTAGACTACTAGGTGAGTTTATCGTTCATTACAAATTTTAGACTTAGGGTTGGCTACAGACAGTACCATACCATATGATATGGCTGAAACAGAGAACTCCTATCTTATTGGCCATAAACTAGGGGACTGAGTTTGAGGCAAGCAAAGTAAATTGAAGTGAGGCAGGAAATCTTGGGAAGGAAAAAGGCAGATAAGGAGAGTCCCCATGCTGTGTGTGTAAATTTTGCCCATCTCTAGCTGTTCTCTGAGTTATGTGTACACAGGTCAGACTACAAGTAGCATTGTTAAGGAGCAAAGAAATGAAGAGAGATTTTGATCTGTTGTTTTCCATAGGGAGACAGAGCTTGATTTTTTTGTACAAAATCAAGAAACTCTACAAAAAAGTATTATTGGTATCCTTAATAATAATTTGTACACATATGAAGAAACAGGAAAGTACACCTCATGTAAGAGTGAAAGTTAACTGAGAAAATCTGATCAGAGATCCACATGTGGGATTTGGCAGACAATGATTTTTCAGCAGCTATTATTACTGTGCTCAAAAACTGAAATGAAAAATATGCTCATAATATGTTCAAATAGGAAATAGCAATAAGGAAAACAGACTCTACAAATAAAACCACCAAACAGAATTTCTATACAAAACAATAGAGAATATATATATTCTCTCTATATATAAGAGAAAGAGAATATATAAGAGAAATTCAATATATAAGAGAAATTCACAACATGGGCTAACAACAGATTGGAGAGGACAGAAGAGTCATAAATGTCTAAGACAAAATATTAGATATTATTTGTTCAGAAGAACAGAGAAATAATAAAGATTTAACCTATGAGACAATATTAAAAGGTCTAACATACAGCTACTTGGGACCCCCAGAAGAGACAAGAGAGGTTGAAGCAGAAAATAATATTTTAAAAGAAATCATGGTTTTACACTCTCCAAATTTGCTGAAAGACAAAACTTTATGGTTAAAAAAGAACCACAGTAAACCTCAAGCGGGATAAAAGAAAATCAAGCTATGCATATCATAGTCAAATTGCTGAAAACCAATGATAAAAGTGAAATACTGAAAGACAATGGAGACAAATGACATTACACATATGGGAACAATAATATAATGATTCAGAACTTCCCCAAAAAAAAATGAAAAAAAAAAAAAAAAAAGACAACAGAAGACAATAAAACATGTTAAAGGGCTGAAAGAAAAAAATTTTAGATTGTAAATATAGGAATCCGGACTGGTCAAACATATCCTTCAAGACTGAAAGCTATGTAAAACATCTTTAGATAAATAAAACTAAGATTTATTAATAAAACTAAGGTATAATATGTCAATTACATCTCAAAACAACAACCCCCACCACACAATCGTAAGATTTCATCACCAGCAGATGTATACAATAAAAAATGCTAAAAGACGGGCGGCCCCGGTGGCGTGGCAGTTTAACGCCACCTGCAGCCTGGGGTGTGATCCTGGAGACCCGGGATCGAGTCCCACATCGGGCTTCCTGCGTGGAGCCTGCTTCTCCCTCTGCCTGTGTCTCTGCCTCTCTCTGTGTGTCTCTATGAATAAATAAACAAAATCTTTTAAAAAAAATGCTAAAAGAGATTCTGTTGAACAGAAATAATAACAGAAATAGATAGCTTATGGAATGAAAAGTGCCAGAAATGACATCTACATATATATGTATAAATATGAAAGATTTTGTTTCTCTTTTATTTATTTGAAGTATATAAAACCCTTTATTTTTTTTAAAGATTTTATTTATTTATTCACAGAGAGAGAGAGAGAGAGAGAGAGAGAGGCACAGACACAGCAGAGGGAGAAGCAGGCTCCATGCAGGGAGCCCGATGTGGGACTTGATCCTGGGACCCCAGGACCATGCTCTGGGCCAAAGGCAGGTGCTAAACCGCTGAGCCACCCAGGGACCCCCACATATAACCCTTTAAAGAATTATAACATTGTGTTGTGGAGTTATAAAGATATACATATGCCAATTCTAGCATTAAGTAGTGAAAGGAGATAAAGAGATTTATGATTATAAGGTTCTTACATTATATGTGAAGTAGTACAACAGTAACTCTGAGTAGACTGTGAAATATTAAGGTTGTATACTGTAATCACTAGAGCATCCATTAAAATAACAATGCAAAGACCTATAGCTAAAAAGTCAATAGAATTTTAAAAGTCAATTTTAAAATGAAATTTTAAAAAAGCTCAAGTAACCGCAAAGATGGCATAAAAGAAACAGGGAAACAAAAACAGAAAGAACATACAGGAAACAATAAAATGAGAGACCTTCAACTAGTCATATTTTAACTGCACTACTAATAGGTAGAACTCAGAATGGATAAAAAATAAAGATTCACACATATTATCTATAAGACATTCTCTTGAGATATAAAAATGCAGTTTGAAAGTAAATGACAGAAAAAGATGTATCATTTTAAAATATGCACAAGATTGACAGAATGGTTTTATTAATAAAAGATGAGGCAGACTTCAAGACAAAGAGAACTACCAAAGATAAAGGTGAGTATATCTTTATGAAAAAAGTCAATTCTTCAGGAATATGTAACTATCACAAACATGTATATGCCTTAAAACAAAATTTCATAATGAGGTAAAAATTGACAGAATTAACAGAAAAAAAAGATAATTCTCTAGTCAGATTTCATTTTAGACAGATATTTTAATACCTTGTAAGCATGTCATAAAACAAGACAATAATATCTCCAAAGATGTACACAATTACTAAAATAACCTTTAAAACATAATAAACCACCTTGACTTCACTGTTATTAGCAGAACATTATAATTAAAAACCTGTAATATACACACTTTTTTCAACTGGGCAGGCAATATCTATCAAGACGGATCTAATCCCAAGTCATAAAGAAAGTCTCATTAAAATTAAAGAGACTAAGACTATATAGAATATGTTCTCTGATCACAATATTAAAATAATAACAATGAGGTATCTAGGAAATGTCCAAATACTTGAAAATTAAACATCATACTTCTAAATAATCCAAGATCATTCAAAACAATAATAATGAAAATATGCTAAATTTTTTGTGATGCAGCTAAGGAAATGTTTATATTAGAAAGGAAAAAAATTATGTCCTAGTGTTCTACCTTAAGAAACTACAAAAAGAAGAGCTAAGTAAACCTATACATAAAAGTTGGAATTATAAAGCTTCTAGAAGAAAACAGAATATCTGTGACTTGAAAGTAGGCAAAGATTTCTTAGGACTGAGAAAGCAATAAGCATAATAGAAAATCAATAAGTTAGACCATCAAAATTAAAATCTTTTGATTATAAGAAGACACCATAAAAGAAAATGAAAAAAAAAAAGCTTTAATGTAGAAAAAATATTCATAAAACATTTATCTGTTAAATGACTGGTATCCAAAATATAAAGCTCTCCTACAACTCAATTAAGAAAAAGAAGTAGAGCGATGGGCTGCGGTAACTCTACGGCCACCAGCGCGGGGACCGGCCGAGGCCCTGCAGGAGCAGCTAAAGATGCAACAGAAGAATCGATAACGGAAGATGACAAGAGGAGAAACTATGGAGGGGTATATGTAGGTCTGCCATCTGAAGCTGTCAATATGATATCTAATCAAACAAAGACTGTACGCAAAAATTAGAAGAAAATATCATGACTCAATAATCAAGAGCTTGCTCATTGAGATTTGGAAGGAATTGCATTCCACGGGACATCATAATGTGTACAGAAATTTCCAAGGAAATTCTAAATAGTCGCCTGCTCCGCCTCCCCTCTCCACCCAAATTCTTAAGTCTGTAATTGAAACCATGGGTACATGTTGAATGTTGTACTAGAAAGGAATCAGGTCAACAATACACGGGTATATGGAACTTTCTGGGGTCCTTCTGTGAAAGACAAGCTGACAAACTGCTGGTATCTGGAGCTAGCCTGCTGTGTCTGGCAGGACTTGTTCCCTGGCCATTCAGCACAGCTCATGAAGATCATGTCTTTTCACTGATAATTTTTTGATAGTTTTTATATAACAAAATCCTTATTCTATTTATAACTTCAGATAAGAAGGCACTATAAATGAATCCCTAACGTAATATATTTGTGGGTTACCTTTCACTATTTTTATGTCACATTAATTTTTAGCTGTAAAACGGTTAAATTGTTTCTTAACGGTTCTCTCTTGACTGTTTTTTATGTTTTGGTTTTCAGCTTTGTGTAAGTGTCAGAGGATTTCTTCTGTTAGGAACAATGTATGACATTGCAATGTTGAAAAATAAGCCACCAAAATTCGCATGCCTTATGCATGTTTTGATTGATTTTCTATTTTCTTTAGTCAAAGGCTGATGTCACCATGAATCCTTTGCAGTCATTGATTCTCCCATTCTCCTTTGTGTGATCATAGCATCTCATCAAGTTAATCCTATAGTATTTTCAAGGACTTATGATTGATGTTAGTGGTGTATTTGGAAAGTTCTTAATTTGAGGATGACCATGTGTAGCCACTTAGTACTACAATGTAGATTACTCAATTTACCAATATATTTCAACATTAAAAAATTTTTATCCCTCTTTAAAAAAAAAAAAAGAAAAAGAAAAAGAAGTAGACAAATTGGGCAAATGATTTGAATAGACACTTCAAGAAGAAATATATGTGAATGGCCATAAGCAGATGAAAAAGTACCCCAAATCATTAGTTATCAGGGAAATAAAGATTAAAATCCAGTAAAATGTCACTACACATTCTCTAGAATGGCTAAAATTGAAAAGATTTAAGTCCTGACAGAAAAACCTAATTAAAACAAAACAAAACAAAAAATCAAAACCATTGTTCCTTCTCTGTGGTAGGGACAGGGATCAACTGGGGAAGGGCACCAGGGAACTTTCTGAAGTATTGGCAATGTTCTACAACTTGATAACTGTTTTGATGTTTAATTATTCAAATGAGTACAGGTATATAAATTTTTAATATCCATCAAATGACATATTTAAGATTGTATATTTCACTATATGAAATTTTATACCAAAGTAAACAAAATTGAACTTTAATGAACTGTATACTCAAGTATTTAGGGTGAAGTGTATGCCTATACACAACTTAAATTGAAATACATCAAATATAACATGGATTAAAAGATGGATAGAGGGTGGACAGGTCGACATGTAATAAAGTACAAGGATTAAAATGTTAATTATATAATCCATGTAAATTAGTGTGTTCACTGTAAAATTCTACTTTCTTAAAATTTTCATCGTAAAATACTGGGAAAAATATATAAATAAGAAATCAATGTAGTTTTATTCCCATTGATTTCTAATAGACCGAATCTGGTTTTCTAAAAACAATCTCTGCTAAAAGGAACCAGGCCTCCTTGGAGAAATGGCTAATTCCAGGTCTGTGTTAGGAAAAGTATAAGGTAAGCTCAAGATTAATGAGTATATATTATAAGTATACAGAGGCCAGTTTGAAAAGTCTCCCACTGGGGTGCCTGGGTGGCTCAGATGGCTAAATGTCTGCCTTCTGCTCAGGTCATGATCTCCAGGTCCTGGGATCAAGCCCCATTTTGGGCTCCCTGCTCAGTGGGGAGTGTGCTTCTCTCTCTCACTCTGCCTCTCCCCCTGCTTCTGCTCTGCCTCTCTCTCTCAAATGAATAATAATAAAAAAAAATCTTAAAAAAAAAGTCTCCCACAAGCAAATGTGGGACATTTTAAACAACCAATAAGCAAAAGGCTTATAATTCATTGAATTACAAAAGAATCCATGAGTCCATGATAATAATAAAAAGACAACAGGGGTGGGATGGATGGACATTATTAACAGAAAAATGCCTGTTAATAAATATAGAAGAAATACTAGAATTAGAAAATTTGCATTCCCAGCAAAATAAGTGATTTAAACAAGGATCATCAACATATGCTTATGAATTATTATATAAGTGGTGCTGGACAACAGGATATTCGCTTGGTGTCTAAGATGACTTATCACATGCAGAGAAAAGTGATTTTACAACAGAGAGATCGGGCAAACATTACCTCAAACAAGTGATCAAACTTAGCATCGTGAAATAATGAAATATGTTGACACTATATGTTTCCTATTGTAATGCAATGGGAAGCACAACACAAAAAGGTGAACCTCTATTGTATGTAAGTGATGAATCCCTGAATTCTACTCCTGAAACCAATATTATGCTTATGATAACTATGGAGGATTTCACAACAGGAGATGGCAAATTATTTCTGTACAGGCCCAGAAAGTAAACACTTTAGGCTTTGTAAACTGTAAGGTCTCTGTTGCAACTATTCAACTTTGTGGTGTGAATGGGTGTAGGTGTGTTCCAATACAACTTTATTTACAAAAACAGATGGTGGGTTTTGCCCATCTCTTTTTTATTCCATGATAATTGTCCATGAGTCTGTCAAAAAAAAAGTATCGGGAAAGAAAAAAAAAGGAAGAAAGCTCCGTGGCAATAAAACTCCATGTTTGATCTTGATCTGACTGGTCTTTAAAGACATTTTGGGGACAAATGAGGAAATTTGAATAAGGACTAAAAATTGCATTTATTTGTTGTATCAGTGTTAAATTCCTTCAGTACAAAAATAGGATTAAGATAATGTTCTTGTTTTCATAAGACATGCTGAAGATTATGTCTGAAAATTATTTTCAAAAAGGAGAGATAAAGCAGATATAGCAATATGGTAAAAGCAAAATAAGCCACCTACTAATCTGTGTTCATCAATAAAAAAGGGTATGTAGGAGAAAAACCACAGCAGTTCACTGAAAAGAAAATAAATAGCTCAAAGGGAAACACACAATGGAAATTTTCTTGAAAATGGTAACACTTTTTGAAACTTCAAGGAATATAATCATGTTTTATTTTACCAAGAACCAGTTTTAAGTTTCCAGAGATTTAAGATCGATTTCTCCAAGGATGTCAAAATACCAACATCAAACTGGTCTCCATTTTCAACTCTTGAAAAAAGAATGATTCATAGGTAGTCTTTAAGTTTTGCTAAGGTCTAATCGATAAATATGATACTATGTTCGTATCTGCCCTGTCAAAGTCTATAATGAATCTTCAAAGATTTTCATCAGTTTTAGCACTTTATGAGAAATTCCCTATATTTTCTCAAAATATCCCAAACTAAACTCATCCTCTTCCTAGCCCTCAAATAAGCTTTTTTTCCTTTAGTGTTCTCATTGATAAAGGCAAGAAATATCTACCCACTCTGATCTAGAAGTCATTCCTCTGAGGCTTTAACCTATTTACCTTCTTTCCCTTCCTATCACTTTAGTTTAGGCCTTTCTTATGTCTCATTTAGACTAGCTTCCTATTTTCTTTTTTTTTTTAAGATTTACTTATGTATTTATTTATTTTATGAGAGAGAGAGAGAATATATGAGAGCAGGACTTGAGAGCACATGGGGAGGGAGAGGGAGTGATAGAATCCCAAGCTGATTCTGTGCTGAGCATAGAGCTCAAACAGGGCTCAATCCTATGACCCTGAGATTATGACCTAAGTTGCAACCAAGAGCCAGGTGCTCAACCCACCCAGGCACCCAGGGACTCCTAGCTTTCTACTTTTTAATTCACTATGTCTGTTGACAGGAGTGATCTGAGCTTATTCCCTGATTAAATTTTTTCAATGACTTTCTACTTCTGATAGTCTATAGGAAGCTCTTCAGATTCTTCAGCATTACCTAATTGCACTAGACTACTTCTGCAGGTTCATTTCCTGCCACTTCCCTAGACATAATATAGACAGTAAGACCAAGATTTTTCAGGTCTACAAACATGCACATTCTATCCTATACCTCCTTGTCTTTGTACATTCTTACCTCTTTGCAACATGCCTTCTTAAAACACTTAAAATCTATCTTGGCTATTCAGTACAAATACAATTTCTCTATGACTTCAACATAGGCAAACCAGAACTCATCTGCCTTCTTCTTAGTTTGCATATTATAATACAGAGAAGAGTGTGTCTCATTTATGCAACAAAATGATCTATATGCTAATGACTCTTAAATTTGGACCCGTCTTGTCTTCTCTTCTAACTTCCAAACCTATTTCCAACCATGATCTTCAATTAAAATCTCCATTTGGAAGACAGTAAAACTAAAGTGTATAGAGCTTAGGGAGTGTACAGTGGGGCCAGAGACCACAGCTATATGGTCTCCAACCAGCTCATTCCCCAGACCAGGAATCTGAGAGTCATCTCTGATATTTCCTTTTCCCTTCATCTCTTATACCAAATATATCACCAAGTTCTAATTCTGTCATTAATAAAGATCTCAAATAAGTTTACTTTTCTTTATCTCTACCCACTCCAGGCTTCCATAAATTATTGTTTGGATGACTGCAGCAATCTCTTCCTCAGTGGTTTTCCCATTTCCACTTTTGCTTTCTCCCAACTGTATTCAGTACATAGTAACCAGATTTATATTTTCTAAGCATGAATTTGGTTATAGTTTTTATTTAATGTATACCAATGATTTACTATTTCATTTTGGTGAAATTTCCAATGTCCTAATAGCCAAGAAAGTCCTTTCTTTAAATCTATGTGAAGATACTCTCTGCATTTCTCACAGGGCTTCAGACCCCTCTCAGTGGCCAGGGTCACTTCATCTAGCCCCAGGACCTTCTCATACTATTAAAAAGTTTGAAATTCTCTCCCTCCAACACCGACTTTCACCCCTCCAATTTTTGGGCACAAAAGAAGTGTTAGCTTCTCTCAAGAGGCATCCATGATGAATCAGCTTAAGTCAAGTGCCCTTGTTACATACTGTCAGGTCACTCTATTTTCCTTACTAGCAACTGACATAATTTGCAACCAAGTATTTGAGTGTTATTCTATATTCCTCACTAGGTTGAAAACTCCATATATTAAGTTCAGCATCTAAATGCTCAGCTTCAAAAAAAAAAAATGCTCAGCTTCTAGTTCAGTGCCTACTGTAAGATGAACAATTAAATATTTTGAAAAAATAAAATAATGTGAGCTAAAATAACACAGGCTAAATGCCTGGTAAGACAAAGAGATAATTAAAACAGATATAACTCACCATGAAATTACCAAAAGAACTAATATCAGAAGGTGGACAAAATTTAGAATATGTAAGAAAAATCACCATGGGCCAAGATGCAAAAGAGCCAATTGTGGTAATACATATAATTTATGTACAAATTATAGCCAACAGACACATGGAGAGATGTTTATCATGACTTACTATCAGGAAAGTGTAAATCAAAATCATAATGAGATATCACTTCACACCTATCAGAATGGCTAAAATCAACAACACAAGAAATAACAGATGTTGGCAAGGATGTGGAGAAAAAGGAATCCTTGTGCAGTGTTCATGGAAATGCAAACAAGTACAGTCACTCTGGAAAACAGTATGGAGCTTCCTCAAAAAGTTAAAAATAGAACTACCTTATGATCCAGTAATTGCTCTACTGATACTTACCCAAAGAATGTTAAGAACACTAATTCAAGGGATACCTGCACCCCTATGTTTACAGCAGCATTATTTACAATAGCCAAGATATGAAAACAGCTCAAGGGTCCATTGAATG